GGCGGCGACGGTTTTTGGGTGTTTCAACAGCGAAAATCCGGGAGTCCAGAAGATGGGGTCAGCCATTTTTGGGTCTGGAATTAAAGAGGAGCTTTTGGAGAAGGCTTTTGGGTTGAGTTTGAAGCAGATTAGGAGGTTGAGGAGAAAGTTTCAGTCTTGAGATTTTTCAATTTCGTCCAACTTTAATTCTGAAATTTGGTTCTTTTTCCTCCTATGTCACCGTGGGATAAAATGAAATACAAAACAAAAATTTATTTTAAAATATAATAAGTTTTCAAATATTCAATAATGGTAAGGATATGATTGCTCTTCTTCCGGTGAAGAGTCAAGTTTTATCCATTATTGTGGGTTGGTGTGTTAATTTTCAAATTCTAATCCGTTAAAATATTAGTAATTTATTTTATAATAAATTTGATTGATCATTGTTCAAAATATTAGTCATTGTTAAATTTTATAAGGTCGAAGTTTGAAATTAAAACTCAAACTTTCGATCTGTGGTAGAAAAAAAGAAGCAATAATTGAAAACGGGATTTATAGAGTAATAGTGTGTGGAAAGTAGGTATACTAGGGCCTAGGGAGGGCCAACGAAGCGTGGTATTCATAGTGGTTTTATGTCTCGTGTAACGACTTCCTAGGCATTTGAAAAAAACCTAACAAGAATAAGAATTTTGGTAAAGTTTTAAAATGGGATAAATTTGTAAAATTTTAACCCAAAAAAAGTTAGATGCAACAGAAACTTATTTAATACAAATATTTATGGGACTCGTTTAAAGAAAGTTAGTGAGTGAAGTGTGTCATGTTAATTGGGGTGGAGTGTTAAGTGAAAAGGAACGAGATAACAACTAAAATAAAATAAACAAAATGGTCGTTTTTTAAAATATAGAAATCAAAATAGATGTTTTTATTTATTTATAATTATAACGCATACCTACTATCTCTCAGAACTAGAGTGGTTTCACGTAGCTTCCTTATATTTTTATGTTTCTTACATCATTTTGAATGAATGGCGTGTAGTGTCTGTTTTTAAAATGGATGTTTCGAAAGTATAACAATTAAGATTAATAAAATTTGAAAGTACAAAGATTAAAAATAGACGTTTTGAAAGTATAGAAAGCCAAAATTAACCAAAATGAAACCAAAATATAGTATTTAAACCAAAAACTAATTATCAACCATAATAAATACATAAATTTTAAAAGTTGAAATATGAAAAAGGGTTGTTATTTAATTTATGACAAAATAAAGATTTTTACTTACAATTAATTTATAATGGAATTTCAAATTCAAAGTTATGAAATTCCAAAGGAAATGTAACTTTTTTTTTTCACCAACACGAGTTCAGTTAAGTGGTAATCGATACCTCTCTCTAACTAAGAGGTTATTAGTTTGAATTCCCACTCAAAAAAAGATATGTAATTTTTTTAGTTATCTCTCGTTCTCTTTCTCTGTAATTGAAAGTAACTCAAGATATACATTCAAGTTGGCACAAGAAATTGATCGTATATTAGATCTTTATCTTTAAGTTTGAAAAGGGTACCATAATTACCTTGATGAAGTTGAATAATGCAACTATCCAACGAGAAAAGTCTATTTTCAAGAATGTATATTAATCGGGTTTTTTTTTTAATTTTATAAGTATCATATTATTGTGTTTTTTTATTTGTTAATATTATTTTTTATAATTAGTATTATTGTGTTATTATCTCAATGTCATCTAGATTCAAGTTCTATAAGAAATTGTTAATTAAAACATTTTCCCTTTATAGTGACAGTAATTCAAATATATTATCTTAATAATTAATCATATTATTAAAAAAAAGTACATAATATTTTAAGTAAATATTAGATAAAGATATTTAGCTCAAATGAAACATTCAATCTTTTCATGAGTCTATTAGAGTTTTTAATAACAATATATATATATATATATATATATATATATATATATATATATATATATATTAACAATCTGGTGAAAGGAAAATTACATAGATTAATTTTATTATTAATAAAATAATAAATTGCATCTTATTATATTAATAATTAATCTATATTTATACTTTACGTTGGAAATTATTTTATTACTTACAAGAAATAAATAGGATGAGGACTCAAAAATTGGTCAAAAGTGTCTATATATATATTAATAATACCAAAACATAATTTTGCCATCATGGTAGCCTATTGATCAAGGGGTCAAGGTAAATAAAAAAAAATTAAAGTAGATTAAGTTCAAATCGTTTTGTATATCTATAGAAATCAAATATATAACGATTACTAATAAATAATACATCTATCTTGTTTCGTGTCTAGTGCAAAGGTTTTAAACGTCGATGTCGATAGAAATGTCGAGGTCTCAATTTTATAGAAATATCAATAAAATATCGATGTCGATGGATATTTCTGTAAAAGTTAGAAAAATTAAAAAATCTTAAAAAATATTTAAGTTAACAAAATAAATATTTTCCTATTTCTAAATTAGTTAGAAATAATTAATATTAATATTATGTATATATTAGTGACATTTTGTATATATTTTTCATATTTTGTCGATTTTCTTCTACTATAATAATATGTCAATTTACCCCCTCATATTGATATCAACTCATGGAAACACGGATATGTTGATGGAAATGTCGGATATTTAGAACCATGGTATGGTGTCTTTTTAACTTTATTTTTTCTTTATAGTTTCAACCATTTTTATCACTATAGTTATTACAATTCACTTGCCCATGCCCCCACCATATTAACACCTTGGATTACTCAACTTTTATGCACATATATCTACCATCAATTTCTATTGAAAGTACTTTTAACTCTAGGAAGAAAATTGGATTAATATAAACATTTTTAAACTTTAAAGAGAGCAAAAAAAAACCCTAAAAGTAAGATCATATCACATCATAATCCCATCAAGAACAAGAACCAATTCCATAATAGAAAACAAACTACAACTAGAAGCCACAGTTGTGTGATAAGATGTGTGGCAATGGCAATGGCAAAGGCAAAGGCAAAGCTAGAGAGAGAGATCATTGATGCAATTGGGCACTGCCAAAAACTCAGAGAGAGACCTTTTTCCATCAAAAGTAACTTTTTCCAGTTTAGTTAAACAACTTACAAATAAAAAGGGCTCTCTTAAAGAAAACAAACTGTCCTTTCCATTTTCCAATCTCAAACACAAAAATAAAAAAGGAAACCCTCCCTTGAGGCTTGCAGTGGCCCCTTCTTTAACTTCTCTTCTTTTTTCCTTCTCCAATCTCTGTGAAATGGCAAGATCAAGGATCATATCAGAGACAACTCTGGTTCTTGGGAGAGTGATTGGAGATGTGGTGGATCCCTTCATTCCCTCCATTAAAATGTCTGTAACTTTCGGCAACAAGCAAGTCCTCAATGGCCATGAATTCTTCCCTTCTTCACTCACCTCCAAACCTAGGGTTCACATTCAAGGAGAAGACATGAGATCTTTATTCACTCTGGTAAATTAGAAAATACAAATTTATTTAAACAACAACATCTCTCTATCACTTTCTTTTTTCTCTTTTTTGACTGATTTTTCTAATTTCTTCTTATAGATCATGGTTGACCCAGATGTTCCTGGCCCTAGTGATCCATACTTGAGAGAGCACCTCCACTGGTAACTTTGGAAAAATCTCCATTGATCTCATAAATTACTTGGAAAAAACTTAACTTTGTTGAAAACCCATCACCAAAATCTGAAATTTCTTCTGTCTAGGTTAAATTTATATGGGAGAAAGATCCTTTTTTTTTTTTTGTGGGGTTTGGTTAAATGGGTAGTATCAAACTTCGAGATGGTAATTGCCTAACCCTTGGCCTTTATTGGATCTCTTTTTCAGGTTGGTCACTGACATTCCAGGAACTACTGATGCTACTTTTGGTAGGTTTGATTGATTATTTCTCTACTTTTTTTAGACTGAGAATATAATAGCTAGAGAAAAATTTTTATAAGATTTTTCAGATTATTGGTCATTTAAAATTATGTTGATCTCTTTATATATGTAATTTTTTTTTACTTAGGAAAAGAGGAGATGAGCTATGAAATTCCAAAGCCTATAATAGGGATCCACAGGTTTGTGTTTATTCTGTTCAAGCAGAAACGGCGTCGTTCAGTGAACCCTCCTTCGTCTAGAGATCGGTTCAGCACTCGAAGTTTTATGGCTGAAAACGATTTGGGACTTCCTGTGGCTGCTGTCTATTTCAATGCACAAAGAGAAACTGCAGCAAGAAGGCGATAATAATGAAATTTAAATAATAAAAATAAAAATATTCATGATCTCATGTGTCATTTCGAATTAATTACTCATCTCTGATTTATATTTTTAAGATCTCACAG